ATTCATCCAGAACTTCTAAAGGAAAGAGTAAAATTATTAAACATGATGTGTAATATATTGCTTAAAACTACATTGTTGTCAGAGAAAAAAAATCGGGGCAAATGTGATGCCAATGTTTAAAAAGGGCTCCAGGGTAACTAAACCCTTGGAATTACAAGACAGTTTGTAAGCCTGGCACCCACAGAGGAAAACTGGTGGGGATGGTAATAACAGATAAAAATCTCTGGACATATGGTCTGCACAAACTTTGTAGAGGAAAGATACACCTTGCAGATTTAGAGATCTGAGTATGTGAACAAGATGATCCAGTTTGTTTTAAACAGTAATGACATAGTTAGGATTTGCATGAGATAACATTCCCTCACTTGTTCCGTGCTTGCTTTTGGTTGAAATTAGTACTTTCTGTAGTCAATCATGGCTCAGTACTTACTCCTCAACCCTTCGTGTCTATGCTCCACATGGTGCCTCTGAGCACCATGCTCTCCACTCATTTGCACAGTACGCAACTATGCTGAGGGGCTTCACAAAGCAGGCTGCAGCCAAGGCAGTTTGGCCCATTTTGCATTTCTTCTGACTACATGAAGCCTCAGCCATGGCTGCTGGCCTCACTGGCTTCAGCCCTCTTGTGTGTGCTTAGGAAGCATGTCTTGACACTGTAGTGGGCCCATCCCTTGGGATGGGGCTGGGTGAGGGGCTCCTACTGTCCTGGGGAAGCTGGTCCCTTATTCCTTCCCACATACAGCTGAGACCAATGTGAGAGACATGCACTGGCTTTATAGTGTGGTACTGACCTGCAGCCCTGGCCAGCCTCTCACCCCTGAGAGCAAGGGGGTTAGTGAGACCGTGCAGTAAGTAGTATGTACCACTGATGACCAGTTGCATCCAGGACTTCCAGAGGTGAAGAACATTGTGGCAAGTCCTCCACAAGAGCCCACTCCTCTCTGACAGTTCAACCTTTTTCATGCGGCATGGTCATGGCAAACCTTTTTTGGCACAGTCTTGACACTGCCACTGCCACCAGCAGTAGGCTTCCACTGGGACGACATGAATGGTGAGGGATGAAGCCATCTGATCACATGTAATTTGGAACAATAAGCTTGACATATATCGTCTGAATTTGCACGTCCAGAAAAAGTGAGCTGCAATGCAAACAGAGCTCTGTGCTATCTTTGCAAAAGTGGAATGGAAAGGTCTGATTTCTTCTCTCCCCAGAAAAAAATTAGAAAGGTCAAAAAGGCACTCTCTCTTTAGGCGATCAATCAGGGGCATATACTTGGAAGCCAAGTTCCTGGCATCCGTGAGCATCGTGTGGACATAGAGCCAGTGAGCCATGAGTGATTCAGTCATGGCAATGCCAGTAAAAGTCTTAATAACTCAGTAGACTACATGCTGAGTTTTTCAACGACTTGCATGCATACTTCAGGCTTCATGTTTTCTTTCTTTAACTTAAAACATTGTTTCCTCATGCTGTGTGCACAAACGACATCATTGAGCTACTGTATCACTTGTTTTGCTTCTCCATTGCTTTTCTAGGTGGAGCTTCCTAAAACCTGGGATGATATAACACATGGCAATCAATGCTCACAGATAATCATGGAAGACTTAACCATCTGGGCTGAGGAACCAAAGTTGACATGGATTTGCTTGTCAGAAGGAGAATCATGGAAGCAGGAGTTTGGGAGCAATTCAACATCATGGACAAGTAGACCATTGGTCTGGAGTGAAACAGCACAAGGGAACAGCACAATTAGAAGATTGGAAATAAAAAGTAGGAATGAAAAGCAGGAGTGAAAGACAATTATGAATAGAGCCTCATAAGAAACTTTGCTACAGCTGTTCATCTCGTTCACAAATGGTCCAGAAAATGGGAAGAGGGGTGAGGTAAAAGACTTTTCTGCTCATGCTAAACCATTCAAGAAAAGAAGAAGCAAAAAATGACTTTGAAGAATTGAAGAAAGCTCTTTCTGATAAAATGGGAGAATAAAAATCACCGCAAAGCAGAAAACAATTATAATTTTTCATTAACAGTATACTGTTTGTGTACAGAGCTCTAAACTAGATATTACTATGCAGGAAAGAGACTACTGCATTTGCAGTAGGTTCTTCTATGAAACATCAGTTCAATTCCCAGTAGTCATAAAAAAGGCAAATAGGATTACAGGAATTATTAGGAAAGGAACAGAGGAAGAAACAACAAAACCTCAATATGCCATTATTTAAATCTTTGGTTCATCTTTATGTGTTGGCATCTGTGAAAGACCATAGAATAACCAGAAAAGATTTTAGACCTGGGCCACAATGCTCATGGAAGGTACGAACCCACTTGTTTACAAGGAAGGAATAATCAACCTGATGTTCTTCAGATATGACAAAATCATGACAAGTACAGAGAAGTGAACTTCAGAACGATAATTCACTGTCATGATACAGTGAGAGACAATAGCCCCAGTGTAATCTCTTTTGATTGCAATGATCCCCCTAATCTTGTCTTCCCTCCTGATCACTACGTCTCCCCCCAGATCTCCATTCACTATGTTTCTACTCTTGGTTTTAACCAGGTCCTGAAGGCTTCTTGGAAGACTCTATGCAATCCAGTTTAGAAAGTCTGGAAGCCCAACAGGTGATGACGTGCGCAGTCTCAATCTATATTTGACAACGTAAATAAAAATTAATCTTTCTCTTTAGTGTAATGCTTCCTCAAGGTACAGGAATAACCAAGCTGTAACTCATCAGAACACCATCAATTAACCCTTTACCCCAAAAGTACAGTATAAAAACTGTAAACTAAAAATTGAGAGAGAATCTAACCCCAAATAGGAACATATCTATGGTAAATAAATAATACAAGAAAAAAAATACTGCTAATATCTGCCATTCAACACAACTGTAGCTGAAAACATATCAAATAATTTCTCTAATGAAGATCTAATAGAAGGTGGCAGGAATCCAGAAAGATCTCTTCCACATCAATAATAATATCTTTTGATACACAACCATTTCTTAAAGCTCAAAATCATTCAGATTGAATGCTACTTCATGACAAAAGAAAATAGTCTAAGATTTAAACTCCATTGAAGCAAGTCCCATATGGATATGGAAAGCAGCATCAGTATCTCAAGTGTAAAGGACACCTTAGAAAGGCAGACATAGGCTACAAAGTTTGGTCTGAGTTGGTTTGCCCTTGATTTTTCTTCTACAGAAAGTAATTTACAAAGGCAAGAGAAGTTGTTGACCAGAAGTTTGGGCAGCTTAGACTACTCTGCATCTTTCTGTTGTCTATGAAGAAGAGAAAAAAAGCAACCTAAGTTCAGTAGTCCTTTCCAAAAAGTATCCATTGCTTTTCCTGTCCATTACTACTACTAAATCAGCACCTGTCTTGGCTACAGTTTCAGTTGTTTGAGATATTATAGTAATTTTAAATTATCAGAGAAAAAGTTGAGGAAATACTGAAATAATTACAAATAAATTCATAACTAAAACTACAAAAAAATTCTCGCTTTAATTAAATGGGCAATGCTTATCATTAAATGGAGTGGTTGATTAGGAACACCCATCAGTTTAATCATAGAAAACATTAAAAATTTAAAGCTGAGTTAGGCAGCTAAAACAAAATTTAGTTTCAGGGACATTAGTACCTAATGTTCGATCTTAATGCTCAATCATTGCAGAAATGGAAGCATATTTTAACTTTTGTTTATTCAGCATGATTTTCTCCCATTTTGAGATTCATGAGTGGAAAAACCAATTAGAACATGTAATTCTGGATTAATTTCCTACCAGTATGTTACACCTTTGAAACTGGAATTGAGTCCTACTGGACTGAATTTTTTTTCAGCTGAGAGTTACACATTGTATACACCACTTACCATTTTGATTTGTTTTATCTCAGATTTTAAAAACTGCAAAAACCTGTAAAAGAAATTGAAAAAATATAATTAACCTGTTAATGAAAATTGAGAAATTAGAATTTTAGATGTAACTTTTCAATCCACTCTCCTATGTATATACTCCCATTAATGGCACTATAAAGTGAAGTGGGCAAGATCGGTAAAGAAATCCAGGCCTCTCTCTCAAAAGAGATTATAAATGTGAAATTTGTTTTCCCTTGAGTTACAGCAGGGACTCATTTATAATATTGGTTTACATTTTTGGCCATAAACAAGCTGTATACTGGAAGTTAAAAGCCCATGACTTTGTAAAAACCAGAGAGGATGGTGTTTATGTGTTCAAAAGGCAGAACTCAGAAGAAAGGGTTTCTTTTAAACAATCAAGATGGTTGTGTCTTACACTAATGCGTAACTAATGTGCCACAGTTTATCAGTTCATCAAGTTCGTATTCAAGTCATACACAAGTCCATGCACTGAAAAAATATGTAGGCTTCTGCTTATAGTAACCGATAATTGTAATATCATATTTTCATAAGGTTTGATGCAGAACATTGAAATTAGCGAGTCTGTGTACTGACTTGCTGGAGTTTGAATTAGGCACATACAGTGCTTTTGTACGAAGTTAGCACTTCACCAAATGAGATAAATGGAACAGCTCTTGTTTTTCTAAGCATACCCAGTCTTCAGTCTGCTCTGAAAAATACGAAGATAGGAATTGTTTTCATGCAAGGCATGCAAAATCTTCACTATGTTTTTCTCTTTTCTGCCCTTTTATTCAACTAGTCTTACCATTTTGTTGTTGGTTGAGAGAAGGATTTATCACTCTCATCTCTCAGTGGTTGTGATTTACTGGCCATGGCGTAACAGACTTCCTCTGAGAAATATTGCAGAGATGTGAGTAGAAGCAATCTCGCAAGGGGTTAACACTGTAATCTGTTTCTAGCCTGTTTATAATCCCAACAGTAGTCCAGTAACAGAAGAGGGTGGATCTAAAGAAATGCTGAAGGGGATGTGTGTGTGTGGCTGTGGGTGCACATGTGTGAGAGTGTTTGTGCACGCATGCTTTGCTTTTCTGAACTGCCTTGTGTGCCCCTGAAATAAATCTTCTTCAGCCTGAACAGAACTCTGTGTGCCGAGTGCTCCTGACAGAGAGTTAGAAGAGCTTCCTTGCACAACTGCCTCTCTTGTTTTTCTCCTGAACATTTCATTCAGAAATGTGTTTGTTTACTGAAAGAATGGGCAGATAGCTACAAACCTGCCCTCCTCTTCATCAAAGCTAACCTCTGGATACTGAAGAATGGAAATAGTTGATGCTAGCTTCCTTGGGAACGGTACCAATATTACTGCTTTCCTGTGTGATATAATCTTGGAAAATGATACTTTTTTCTGTGTGGATGATCCACCTTATCCTTCTAAAGGTATGTATAAAAAATAGATTTTTTTTTTTTTTCAGACAGTTTTAGTTCTGAGACATACTATGGAAGGAAAGAGCTACACAAGGCTTTTTCTGTGAGGGAGTGCAAAATCAACTGCTTGCTGATAAGTAAGGATGAGAAACATGCAAGAAATAATTTAGTATGTGTTGTTTTTCCAAGTTAAAAATTCAGCTAGAACAAAAATTGGCTATAATGGAAAAATAAACAGTACCACTATTGGGCACAAAATGTAAACAGGTGCTAAGGACTTGGAGAAACGTGATTTTTACTCTCTGAGCAATTAAATAATAATGAAGTTATCTGATCTGATACTGTGTATGAAAGTGATTAAATATGAAATTATAGCACTCTGAGGCTGAAAAAAAAAATCCCTATATTAAAATATTTTTAACTGCTGTGTAGTTTCTTACCTTGGAACTCCCATGATAATTGAGTGGTAGCGTGAGCAGAACATGCTTTTAAGAAGTTGTAGTTGATTCTCCAGATGTGCATTGTGTTGCATGTATTGTATTGTAATGTTATGCAATTCAGTAGATCAGAATAAATTTAAGCATTTCAGCACTTCCACTGATTTTGCATTGATGTAAAGACATAAGACTTACTGAAACTGAATACAGAAAGGCTTTTACCTTTTGATTAAAAGATGAAACATATAATACTAGTCTATGAGCTGTATACCACATAAATGACTTTTCCTTGTGACAATTTTCAGATTTGCATCAGATAATTCGGATTCTGCTGTATTGTTTGATATTTCTGCTCAGTGTTTTGGGAAACATGCTGGTAATTACAGTGCTGATAAGAAACAAACGGATGAGAACAGTCACAAACACATTTCTGCTGTCACTATCAGTCAGCGACCTGATGCTCTGCCTTTTCTGCATGCCATTCACCCTCATTCCCAACCTGCTGAAAGACTTTATTTTTGGTAGTGCTGTTTGCAAAACTGCCACTTATTTCATGGGTAAGTCTGGGAAGTTTATACCTATTCTGAAGACTGACTAATGAGATAGGTGCGAAGAACATTAAAGACTAGTGAAAAAACCTGTTTCCATCTGCCATTGAAGAGTCAGCAAAAATCACAGAGAAACAACTTTGTGATGCAAATCTTCATGGTTCTGGTTTCCTCAGTCTTATCCAGCAAAACACAGAGGCACCCACTTAATTTTAATGACATACAGAAGAGTTTTTCTGGATCACATTAAGTGAGAAGTACACTGCATGATCAAACTTTAATGAGGAACCTGTCACATGCGCTTGCTTACCCATCACTGACAGAGTTATTATCAGCATTCAGATCACCCATCAGAAAGAGCAGGTTTGTACAGTCGTCTCTAAGGGCAGATTCTGCCCACAGACTTTTGGTAGCAGTGATACATGAAAAAAAAAATAGGCCAAAGTAGGTGTCATTTGCAGAGCTGGAAGTTAGAGCAAGCCCTTTTTGAGAACAGACCAGGTGTGATCAGAGCTCACCAGGACACCACAAAACACAGATACAGGTTTTGAAGGCTGACTTTAAGAAGCGTCACTTTTATATGCCTTGCTGTACTCCCTTTGGCTGTGAAGCCAGGAGTTTAAAAATGCCTGGATTATGTACGTCAGTGTAAGTGATTTTTGTCTCACTTTCAATAATTCCTGTGCGTTTGCTTGTTTCTTTGGGAGAAAAAAAAAAAGCAAAAAAAAAAAGCTAACATTATGTTAAGTTTTTACTACCTTGGGAGACCCTTGGTTAATTACAGAAACCTTAGCTCCCCTTTCAGCCTGTGCCCTTGGGAACTTTGATGTAATGTGAAAGTATACACCTCAAGTGTGCGAATGGGAAATCAACATATTTTTGTAGATAAAACCAATAAAACTAAAGGCCATGTTTAAACAGTTATAATGAATTGCTGCCATAAATACCATAAAATATTACTGAAGCATTGTCATCTTTCTCTTATTCCACACTGTGTAAATTACTTTATTAAAAAAATTCCAGTGAAATATTTTTGAACATGAAGTTTTTCACTATTGAAGTGTTTTATTTTAAGAGTCAGAATGTGGATATTTCCCATTAGCAGTTCAGGTCAACAGAAGCTTCAGCTGACAAACAGACACTGACATCCATTGCATCACCTATGCTCAATTTTTCATTTTTAGATGTAGGAAGACTTAGTTTAAACTAGAGATAATTTGAGTAAAGCAAACTGTAAAGATACTCACATTTTATATTTTGATCCACATTAGAACCTTCACAAAGACTATTAAAGGAAAACTCATTCACTGAAAAAAAAAAAAAGTGACAAATTTAAGAAGAAATATTTATAATCTTGCAGTGATAAACTGGGGCACTTCAGTGGCAGAAATACAGACGACTGCATTATATTTTGTAATATATGAACAGAAGAAATTAAGGGCACTCGAAGGACAAAAATTCTACTTCATTACTTCATTGCTCCTGCTTTGTAATTCTATTAGCATCTAATTAAAAAAGTGATAACATATTTAATTCTCTTGAATGAGAAAATGCGATCACCAGTCAAGCAGGACACTTTAAAAAAATTAAAACAGTAGAAGAGGGGCTATGAACCTCTGTGTTAAAAGTGTAACTAACAACATAATCCCACTGATTTAAAATGCTTGTTTGAATTTCAGTGCAATTAGTGGAGTGGATAAACCACAGTAGCAAAGAGAAGAATTAGGAGGAAAAGTGTCTTCTTTCCCTGTTATCAGAATTTCCTGGTTTGACACAATGGATCATTTCTCTTGGACTTCTGGAGTTAGAGAAGAGCAGAGCAGGAATATCAGTCTGGAGGCCCAGACCCATTGCCCACACATTCTTTGCTGACTTAATCAGTATGATGTATATAAATAATTTCCTATGTTTTTCATTTTCTATATGTATATAGAAAGTTAGCCAGACTCTTCGAAAATGACATAAACCTTTAAAACCTTTATTTTTTTATATATACAGGTGTCTCTGTGAGTGTATCTACATTCAGCCTGGTTGCCATATCTTTGGAGAGATACAGTGCCATTTGCAAACCGCTGCAGTCCAGGGTCTGGCAGACAAAATCTCATGCCTTGAAAGTGATTGCTGCTACCTGGTGTGTTTCCTTTACTATCATGTCACCATACCCAATTTACAGCAAACTGGTACCTTTTACCAAGTATAACAACACCACAGCAAATATGTGTCGGCTCCTTTGGCCAAGTGATGTCATACAGCAGTCTTGGTAAGACATAACTGACTGTTAGAAAATGCATAATTATCTGTTGGAAAACAGGATTTCATGGTAGCATTAAGCCTATTGGAAATCAAGTATTAACCTTCAGCAAACATTTACACTTCTATCATGCTTATTTAAGAAGTAAAAAAAAAAATAAAAATCCCACCGTGTTTTTTAAGCTGCTTACATTTTGACATTTCTGTGACTTTTCCCTTGTCATAGGAATGATATCCAACATGGCAATGATTCTCACACTATGGTTTGCTAAGCCCCTACTGTCGCTGTAAATAAAGCATCTGTCACTCTTCAAGTAGGAATAATGTTTTACTCATTTTACATAAACTTTAATGTTTTCAGAGAAATCCTTGATTAATCTTTGAGAAATGCAGACACATACAAGTGCCCCTCTGTGTGCTGCCTTGCCTGTTAATTTGTTTGTCTGAAGGTCCTCTGAAGCAGAGAAGTAGAATATGAGAACTTGGAGAGGTTGCAAATGCCCTTCTTGAGAACTGAACCCTTTTGGTCACTTACAGGGGAGGGAGATGAGGGGAGAGACAGTGCTCCAAGTCCTACATGTCCAGGCAGAGTAAGTAAATGGTAGCACTATCAGGCAGCAATATTATTTAGACATTGTGTCCTTGTACTGTGACTAAACACTTTAACTGTCCCTGAGAAAATGTAAGATTTTTCTGGATACTAAAGGTCAGTTGGAACTGGGAACAAGATTAAAGTATGCACCACTTCAGTATGGTGTATCCACAAACATAGTAAATTTGTATTAATGCTTTAGGTAGTCTCAGGTATTTGGAAGTGTGAGTTCAGATGAGGAGGGAGGGTGCAGGGTGAAATTCTGTTCTCTGTGATGTCTTTGCAGATAACCAGGTGCATTAGTGAGTTTGCACCAAAGTCCCAGGTTGCAGAAGAGACATAGACTCACGAATGTATTTAAACAGGCTTACTTCCCCAGCTTGTAATCACATTAGAGAAGCTCCCTAGGAGAGGAACAGATGTGCAACCAAGTAAAAGCTGCTTCCTTCAGCAAAGGGACTGCTGGCCCTGGGATCCCTCCCCAGGTGCTCTGCATGGCCCCAGGGATGAAAGCCCAGGTTGTGCCACGACCCCTGGCAAGTCCGATCTCACCGAAGTGGTGACTGCCTGTATCAGGGACTCCTTTGAGAAACAGCAGCTGCTCATTTGGCTTCTGCAAGGCCATTTTTACATCACTGAAAGCTACAGGGCATCTGACGCTCACCTGGTGACAGCAGGGAGCCCTAGTCATGGGCAGAGAGACCTTCTGCCCCCTCTAACCACTGTGGGAGCGTCCATCTCCTCTGAGCCTACAGAGGTTGTGTGACAGATGTTTTGGAGCCGTGATAGCCTTGTTCCTGCTGTACTTTCTTGGGGGAAGAAGGAGAAAAAGAGGTGGAAACCTTCTACTTTCCAGAGCTGTCAAAATGGTGCTTCATATTAGCATGAAAAAATTTCAGAAAAAACTTGAAAACTTGCCCCACCCAATTCTCACCTAGAGATTAAGGATTTTTTTTCTGGTTTTGTGCTGTTCCCTGTTCTTAGTTTGTGTTTTGATTCTTTAGGTACACTTTCCTGCTACTCATACTCTTTCTTATACCTGGGATTATAATGATGGTTGCATATGGCCTAATTTCTTTGGAACTCTACAGAGGAATAAAATTTGATGCCAGCCAAAGAAAATCTTCACGAGGTAACAATATGTTTAGGTTTGGAGGGTTTTTTAAGTTAAAGTTGAAGGTATGAGCAGTCATCTTGAAGCTACTAAAAGCAAAATTTTCTATTTGCAAAAAAGATTATTATGACCAGTGAACCTGCCAGATGCATTTGTGGATTGAAATTTTTCCCTTATTCACTAGCAAATAATTCCTCACCTATGGCTTGTTTGCAAATACTCTGGGCAGGATAAATTAAATCTTTAATTTGCCTATTCTAGAAATACCAAGATTTTTATTTTTTTTTTCTGGCCATGTATGAGGACCATTTCTGTCAATAAACACCACAATAAAAATTGTCAAATTAAGATAGAAATATATAATATTAAAATCTCTCTTCAGTGAATACTTGAGCAAATGGTATTCTTACATCTTTTGCATCAATTTGTATAGAGTTAAAACATCAGAATAGAGATAGCAGATGCAGAGCAGCTGAAGCGGTCAGCTTCTGACTGACTCAGAAGTAGGCCAGTGCTTCCTTTGCAGCAGTTGTTCAGCCATGAATTATGTTATTTATTTAGACTTAGACACCATTCTTTGTTTTTTATTTTGAATCACTATTCAAAGATATTTTGCCAACTATTTAAGCACTAATTTATATGTACAGAAAGAAAAGCAAGTACCTGCAGCACCAAATATGAGGATGGAGATGGATGCTACCTCAACAAAACCAAAAGAAAAAGGAAAATGCCATTGCAACAGCTCTCTGCTACTAGCCACAGCAAAATAGACAGGGTGAGAAGCAGCAGCTCTTCTGCCAACTTAATGGCCAAGAAACTTGTCATCCGCATGTTGATGGTGATCGTGATTATGTTTTTCCTTTGCTGGACTCCCATCTTCAGTGTCAATGCCTGGCGCGCGTTTGACACCACTTCAGCAGACCAGCGTCTCTCAGGGGCCCCTATCTCCTTTATCCACCTGTTGTCCTATACATCTGCCTGTGTGAACCCTATCATATACTGCTTTATGAACAAGCGTTTCCGCATGGGATTTCTAGCCACTTTCACCTGCTGTGCAAAGCAAAAGCCCACTGCAGTACGGGGAGAGGTTGGGGATGAAGAGGAGGGCAAGACAACAGGAGCTTCACTCTCCAAGTGTTCTTATACTCACATGAATGCATCTGCACCCCCCTGAGCTGCATCAGAAGAGTCAGTGAGTGGCCTGCAGAAAGCCAAGTATCTATCATGTGGTCTTGGAAAGTGACTGTGGCATCAGCTGAACATGATTTAGTTCTGAGGTAATGAAACACTTCAGCTGACAGTAAACGCAGTGAGAATTTTATGGGAAATGGATGCTATCACTGTCTGAGCTTTATATCACTTTCTCTTCAAAAGTACAAAGGAGGAAGAGGGCTTTTTGAAGATAAGGACTTTATGAAAAGCCTTACAAGATGCTCTATTTATCATAAATTCTCCTGTAAAAATAGGTGTCCTTTACATCAAGTTTTGCTCAGTTTTCAGGTGCGGTTCTGAATATCTTTTAAGATTTCCAAGACACTAATAGATGGTCTTCAAACATGAATGCATGTATTGCAGTTTTCACTTCAATATCTAAGCCTCATAATCAAAATATTTCAGTTACATTTGTAGTATTTTTTCACATTATTTTATCTGAGCTAATACATGTTGAGATCATTTTGGTGTCAATGTCAATTAAAAGAATTTTAGGGTGGGGAGAATGGGCTTGTCCATGTAAAAATAATGCTTTCAAGTAATTTTTTTTGTTTTTTAAATTAAATGAAAATAATATTGGTGACTTTGTGGATGGAATGCATTCTTCAGTTAAGCAATATAACCTAAATTAACAATTTAATGTATTTTTGGTTTAAATAAACCCCACAGAACAAGCACAAAGAACTGGCTTTCTTCTGTGCAGCTGCAAGAACCCACACATGCAAGTGGTAAGGCCTTAGATGAGCCCCAAAGGCTCACGTGGAAATTGTCACACTGGGAAGCACAGGAATAAATGGGATAAAGGCAAAGAGGTGATTTTACAAAAGATACAGGACTGAAGACGTAGGATGATGTCCACGGTAGGCATACATTTCACAAATATATTCACAGTCACTCCTGGCATGGTACTGCCCACATGGAAATAAAAGCCATTGGATGTGGAAAGGCAGAAAGAGCAGGTATGACAAGCAAAGGCTGAAAGACTTTGTCAGAAAACATAGTTTTTCTAAACTTTGGAACTATTTTCTCCAACTACATGTATTTGTAAACACACTGAACATAGAAAAAAAACCCACTTTGGATGATGCAATTATTGGTGGTTTGTTGAGCAAGGAATCCAGTCTCTTCCCTGTGCAGTGCACGGGTGATTGTGAGTGTTCAGGTCATGCCCTTTGCTCTGTGGAGCTTGACAGGTAAAGTTATATCATTTGTTTTGTGAAAATATCCTCTTGGAGATGATTATATCTTCTAGCTGAATCAGTATAATTTTAAAAACTTGTTATTAGACACAGATTAAATTTGAGCACAGTGTGGAATGTAGATGTGGATATTAAATATAACCCCTCTCAAAGCTTTTGATCAGGAAAATCTGATCTCTTTACAGAATTATTTTAAATTGGAAATATAGTTTGAGTTCTAGGCACCCAGATCCATGTTCTACACTCAATTGTTGCCTGAAACAGTTTACCCATACAACTTAGCACACAACTTTGGCTATTATTTTTTTTACATACAGCTCGTCCACAGACAGGAAATTAAAAAAAAAAAAAATTCTAAACACTATTTATGCACAATCCATAGAAACAATATTTTGCCTGCCACGTTAATAAAACAGCACTCTTCCTGGAATGGTGCTGAAACTACTGACATTGATCTGACCTTTTGCAAATACCCACCAAATTAAATTATGGGATTTAATTCATAATGATGAAATGAAAATTTTACTTCACTTAAGGATGAGGATGAGACCCTCTATAAACTCTATAAACAGGCCCTGCCTGTTGAGACTGAAGGAACAAACTTAACTGCTTTTGGATTTATGTGGAACAGTGAGAGCAGAAAAAATATTTGTGAAGTATTTTATGCTGTTTGAAAGTCTGCCTTTACTATGGGGCATAGTTTAAAAACTGTTGCTTAAGTAAAAAAAAGATATCACATTTTAACAATATACCGGATATGAATATTGTTGGCTATGAACTGTATAGAGAGACAGCTTACTTCACAGCTCTGTATGCATTTCAAAAGGCAAATTCCTTTTTTTGTAGATGTAGGTTGTCTGGTACCTGTAGAGCCTGTGTAGTAAGTAGTATGTGCACCTTTCTCCTGCTCCCACTGATTTGAGTGTAGTGGTTTCAGATGAAAGGCAAAAGCTATTTTCAACAATGCCTTAATCAGATCACAGCTCCCTGTGGCCTCCAGTACCTGTGGCTGAAAGGAGCAGAGTCTCTGATTGATTCCCCACTCATAACTATCAAGGAGCACAATTTGGAGGTGATGAAGTGAGGGAGGCAGGAGAAGAAGTTCCTGATGGAGTGACAGTCGGGTGACAATCAGGGAAGGTGTGAGAAACAGACATGTATCCTTTTGTCCAAGGCTCTGTCTGTGCATGTGTCACTCTTCCCCTCCATTGCCCCCTATACACCTTTTTTGTTTTTAAACCAACGCATTAACTCTTTGATTGAGTTCCCAAAGTCATGATCCTTAACCTAAATTCCAGCAAGGAGTAAGAATTAAGTTTTTAAAAGGCAATAGTGCAATCCAGTCATTTTACCATCTTCTGCTCTGGACTCCTAGCACAGCCTTTCTGCAAACTGCATGCATCTTAACACCATTTTCCCTAATCTGTGCATTTCAGAAGTCATTCCTGACTCCAAATGTTGCCCTTTCATTGATAAAGAGCCATGGAATCCTCCCAGCACCTTTAATTCAGATACTGCTGTTAGTGGAAATGTATCTTCAGCAAAAAATGTGGGTAGAATAAACATATCAAAATAAAAGATCCCATGAAGTCTCCTTAATGTAACATTATAGAGGTTGGGGGAAGAAATCCTATCCTAAAAAATGTACAATGGGGAGTACCTAAAGGCAAACTCTTTCCCAGATGTAGTAGACAAATGGCAAATTAATAAATTTCAGGTGTATAATGCCCATAAATATCTGGCCTTTCTCTTCTTCCCCTTTCTTTCCTGACTCCTAGGTTTTTCTCTCCCTTTGTCTTTCTCTTCTCTCTTTCAGCTGCATGTCACCATCTTCTTTTCTTCTGTACCCTTCCCAGTCTCTAGTTTACTTTCTCCCCACCAACAATTGCTATTTTTTTTACCTATTTGACAGGGTTATTTTCCTTCACAGATTTACTTTCCCAGAAAGCTCTCTTGTCTTCATTTCCCCCTATCATCTCTGGTTGACAGACTCCTGAAACACATTGCTCCAAGCAATATATCCTGCCCATAACACAACAGTTCTGCAATTGCCTCCCACAACCCTATGTCTGAGTTCACACATCGTCTCTCATGAACACTGGCTCCTGGCATGCTCAAACAAACGGTCTATACTAGTTCATAAAACAAAATCATAGTATTAAATGACGTCCAAGTCCTCCTTTGCTACTTCTGTCATTATTACTTGCAACTTCTATTATTAGGGTGTGCTTTAAGACAGGTGCCTAAAATACTGCTAAATACAGCACTTGGTGGGGGCTCAAATGAAAAACGTATTTTACTGTTTCCAAGGCAAAATAAAGGTACTCTCAATAAAAAGCAGCATGTGGATATGGAGCTCCAGCCACTAAAGGTTTACATGCCCTTACACAAGTCGTGGCCTCTTTTCTCATGCCACCAAGCCCTTCTTGGTGAGGTGGTGAGGCTGTCTGGCCTCCCACCTGCTCCTCCATCCCCTCCAGTTCTTCCTGCCTCCCAGCCAAGGGATGGTGCAACCCGCATTCTCACATCGCAGCTCGTCATGACACTTTTCTGGCTTGGAATAGGTTATTTCAGGATCAGATGATACTGAAATAATACAATACAATAAAGAAGTATTGCAGCCAAAGCATAGCAAATAAACACATGCTAACATAGTATCTAACAGCATTTAGCAGGGTTTCCCTTAAAACTAGGCACTTGCTCAGACCACATGCACAACAGTACTAGGGCAGAAGGCTGATCTGAAGATAGCTGCCTTTCATGGGACCTCACAGATAGAGGCTGCCAGGAAAATCTGGATGAACGACCCTGTAGCACAGGGTAGAACACTGGTAGGGTTTCTGAATCAAAGCTAATCTACAGTCAGATATACTCACAATATGCACAGACCAGAATGTGGTAGGCATTTACTGACTGCAGTCAAACCATCTTGTAATCTTATGATTACAATGGTGAATGCAGTTTAGATTGTTTTTTCCCTGATGAAACATAAATCTTGGAAGTATTCATTTAGGTGTCGAGAGGATTTTAATAGCTACTCATCCCCTTTATTTTCTCAGATACCCAGTTTTCCATAGCTGATGTTTTCTATACAAATTAAGATACATGAAGAGCATCTTTAGATTCAAGGACTGTACTTACCTTCTCTTCCATTTCTCAGAACTTTGGTAAACATGCTACTTTTTTTTTTTTTCCCCTCAGTCTTAATTCAATGGATCTTGAGCTAAACTTAGGGTTCCTAGTGGCAAAAGATGTCTATTCTCAAGAGGAAACATAAGAAAGATAGAACTTAATGGCTTTGAAGAAGAATTATATGAAAGGAGAGGCTGCAATCTTTTTATTAGAGCATCAGAGACAGGGTGGGAGAGAGTATTAAAAAAAAAGCTGGGATTTGGGGGTTGGTTGGTTTGTTTGGTTTTGTTTTCACAAAATGTCTTGCTCTTCCATTTAAAATATGACACAGACCAACCAAACCATACTTGACAGAGGTGTACATGTAGGTCAGCTATTTGCTCACCATCTGATGATAGTTTTCCTACCCATTTTTTATATGCATTATTCATTTCTATTAAACAGCTCCAGCTTTTTACACACAACCCATTCCTGGCTCTTTTCTCATTAGTTACAGCCCCATTATAGTAATGTGTGCCTTAAAGATGGCAGAATTTCTAAGTAGTTTATAAAAAGACCCATTTCTAACATAACCTTTTTCTTTTTTCCTCATGCAATGCTTCTTAGGCTGCCTTGTGTACCTACCAAAGGAAAAAAAAAATAAAGCAAAGGAGATGTTCATGATGTGTAAAGCTCCTGCTTAATCACAAATCATCCCTACTAAGAGTTATTTGTCTGCATCTCTATGAATAATTATGGCATTAAGAGTTTTCTTTGGCTTCTGCTCCCAGTTGTGTCCAAAAAGCACTGATTTTGAGCCAGTGAGATGTCAGTTGTCCACCGTACTGTGAGACGAGAACAAAACGTCTTCATTAGCATCAGCAGGTAGAAATATCAAGTGGGAATTATCGCCTATGGGGTATGCACCACTTAATTAATTTCCTGCTATTTTAGCAG